GCCGGCTTTAAATCCGGTTCTCCCGAGAGAACAAGTTAATATCGCGGAATGGGCAATGACTTGGCAGAAGAAAGGCATGTTGGATCAAATAATGGACTCAAACCTGGTGGGGAAAGTGAATCCAGCTTCTCTTAAGAAATACGGAGAGACAGCTGAAAAGTGCTTGGCTGAACACGGCGTTGACAGGCCATCGATGGGAGATGTATTGTGGAATCTTGAATATGCTCTTCAGCTGGAGGAGACTTCATCAGCACTAATGGAACCCGACAATAACAGTACAAACCATATCCCAGCCATTCAGTTGACACCACTCGAGCCTTTCGATAATAGTGTAAGCATGATCGATGGTAATTCTGGTACTGATGACGATGCTGAAGATGCTGCCACTAGTGCAGTATTTTCACAACTCGTAAATCCTCGAGGAAGATAGACGACAATCAGTCCTGCCTGGTGATTTTAGCCAATGGACATCCTGCTAAGAAACTCGGTTGTCCTTGCTGGCCTGCTCGAGAGAATACTTCGAAAACATCCTGAGGGATTGAATGAAGGTTTTTCTACTCTTATTACAGTTCTGTTCTTTTTCTTCAAACTTTCATCCATAATATATTTAGTATGTAAAATAGTTGAGTGATAACTACCACTTAAATTCATCCGAAATTTGCATGTAATGTACAATAAATATTCCATTCTTGTTGATTTAATTCATTTATGATTACACAGTTACCAGATAAGGAATATTTTATTTGTCTTTTTTTTCACTGCATTATTATTTCTTGAGAACAAGAACTAAGTTATACAGGCACACGAGTGTCCTTAGCACCGATGTATTGATGTGATATTATACCTTAGCAGTATTGAAATATACATGAATTATATTATGTGGATCGTCATAATAATTTCATAAAATTTAATGATGTAATCCTCGTCTATGTTAAAATCACACTAATTTAAATGAAAAGTAAAAATAAAGAGTTAATTTAACCAAAACAATAATAATCAAATTGATAAAACGTGCAAAGGTGTTTGATGCTCCCATGGAAGGGGTTGCGACGATAATCGAGCGCAGTGCTCGGCTTGTTCAGTTAACACTTCAGGCTCGCATGATGGACAAACCGGTGGTGACTAAAACTGCAGTCTTTCACCGCTGTTCTTTTCATTGGATGCTGCCTTCAAGCCCATGGATTAGGCTTAATACTGATGCTGCTTGGACAGAAACTGATGGTCGTGCTCGGTGTGGAGTTGCTAAAGATAGTTCTGGCACTTGGTTATTTGGGTTTTCCAAGTTTATTGGAATATGCTTGATAATCGATGCTGAGTTGTGGGGTGCCTTTGTTGGTCTTACCTTCGCTTGGAATGCTGGTTTTCGTCAGGTAATTCTTGAACTTGATAGTATGGAAGCCTTAAGGATTCTTAAGTCGGATTACAATGGAACTCACTCGTTAAGATGGCATATCAATGAATTGAGGAGACGTAATTCGTGTGTTCAAATCCAACATGTTCTTCGTAATGGAAACAAAGTTGCCGACGTTTTGGCGAAAGGTGCTTCTTTAGCCAACTTAGATCCGATTCTTATTGATTCCCCGCCGATCTCGATCACTAAACTCCTTCTTGAAGATATGCTAGTGCTTGATTCTGTTAATGGCTAATCAGCATACAAATGAAAAATTGTATAAGTGTTGATGTTATTTACCGTTGGGGATCAGCTGTCGAGCCATGGTGGAAGTGGGGATAAAGGGAGAGGAAACAAGTAGAACACATAGTATCACAAATGATGCTTTCATTCTGGGACTCTTTTGTTTTACTACTAATCAGTTTTTGGTTTGGATGAAGCATTACCTCTCTCGACTGCTATTTATAGCCCAATATTTCATGTGTTTTATTCAGGGTTTGAACAATTCCAGTATTCGATCATTCACTCTATGAAGCCAACAAAATTGAGAAAGGGAGGACTGAAGATATTTCCATGGCCGACAACGAGTGCATTAAAGTTTAGGACTTGTTTTTCCACATAACAAGATATTTATAGATGTTGTCTCTTTCTTTATTATATATGTATACATTCCCTCACTTGGAAGAAGAAACAAAATTCATAGTTGTGAAGAACATTCAAGTTTTTTTTAAAATTTTATTTTATATCCAATAACATGAATAATTATTTGACTTATTGATAGTTAAGGTTCTCTTAGAAGTTACTAAATTATAATATGTTATTCAAATTTGTTATTGTTAGATTGAAAGTGATTTTAAAAATTATTTTAAAAAAAAAATTAAAGTACCTTTTAAAATAAATGATGTAGAAAGTTATAATTTATTAACTTAAGTGTTTATCATTATGTAAAAAAATATTGTAAGAAGTTAAAGTGTTTATTATTAATCGCTGGTTGTAGAAAGGTATAATTTATTAATTGAAGATATAATTTGTCCTCGTCTTTGCAGTTCTCGATCTGGATTAGTTGATCAATAGATCGGATACCAGTGATTAATTCAAAAAAGTATTTATTTTAAAGTATAATAAATTATAAAATATGAAGAATTGATAATGTTATTATGATAATTTCATACTCAATTTTTTTTTAATTTTTGTGTTTAAATTTAAAAGTGTACTTGGATCTCAATCTTTAAATTAAATATAAATATATTTAAATCTATAATTTTTTAATTATGGGATAATAATAATTTCAATCAAATTAATAATTGTATTATGCTAAATAAAAAGTTAATTGACCTCAAGTCTACTTCTGTTAGTGTCCCCTGCAATTTTTATTGACCAATTCAAAGTCATGAATAGTTAGATCATTGAAAAGTAAAGATTATAAAAATTGGATAGCAAAAGCAGTGAGTGCATTAAATTTATGACATTTTCCACAAAGAAAAAGAAACATTATGAATAGTTAGTGTCTTTCCTTTATCACTTGGAGAAATAATTTCCCCCACTCTTACTCACCCCCACACACACACAAATCATGTGTAGTTATTGTGTCTTTCTCCATCACTTTGAAAGAAAATTGCATTAGAATTAACATAGTGAATAAACCTTAAAAATATGATAAGTATATGCACGAACTAAATGACCTAAATGCTTATTGAAGATTTCTTGGAACGCTTTTATCTATTTCATCTGGCAGGAAAGGAATCAACGTATTTTCCAGGGTCGGCAAAGATCGATTGATATTTTGTTTAATGACATTATTGAAACTGTTAGCATTAGACTTAGGGGCAAAGCTATTAATAGACTTGATAGCACTAACCAATTGCTTTGTAATGCTTGGGGTATAGTCTAACCAATCTTTGGTTTTTTTGTATTTAGGTTGCTTTGTCTCTTTGTTGGTTGATTTGTTATAGCATAACATTGCTATTTTGGGTAATAAATTCTGATTTATCCAACAACAACAAAAAATGACCTAAATGGTTAAAAAATATTTTGTTAATTCTTCAAGTCTTGAGTTTGAGTATTGTGTATGTATAGGTACGAGCCTTCATTGCTAAATGATTAAGAGTCTTTGAACACATATTACCTTATATTCACTCTCTATATATAATATTTTTAACAATAAGATTTAATTTAGAAAAAAACACATTTTATCTTTCTAAATTAATTTTTATACTTACCATTTTATAGTTATTATTTTAATCCTTACTTTTTGATTTTATGTATTTTATTTTAATTTCTCAAATAATTTAATTTTTTTTTAGTTTAATGTATAAGATCAAGCACATTCAAGAACTAAATATCATCCGATTTATAAACGAGAAGGAATATGAATAGTATACCATTATATAAAATAATAGTTTAAATATCACTTTGACCAATTCATATTAAAATGTATGTTGGCTCATTTGAATCTCTTATTAGTTCTCTTCCCCAGTCAATATCATTCTCTTCTGTAATTTTAGTGGAGTTACATCATTGTTCGAATCATTATATTTGTTCATCTTCGTCTATGATCCACTTCATCAACAATTAATATAATATTGTTAATGATATTAAGAAAATATTATTATGGAAGAATTCATCGAGTGACTTTATTGATAAAAGAGAATATTGTTATTTAGGTATTTAATTCGAGTAATTATATTTATAGAGTGTATTTATTGTATTAATTGATTAAAAATTACTAAATAAATATTATATTATAATTATTCTAAACTATTAATATATGTATATATATATATGTTACTAATTATGTTAATTGGTTTTCTATGAGGTTTTGAAGATTGTAGTGCATATCTATTAATAGTGGTGGATTTCTCCCGTCCAACACTGTTTATGTTCATATATATATATATATATGAATACAATGAAAGTTTTCAAAACTATTACACCATCCTTATTAAAATGTTATTGGGTACCTACAGGCGGTTCAGCAAACAGAAAGGAACTATCAGAAATCTCCCAAGCCAGAGCAGCCAGACCATCGGCCACCCGGTTACCCTCCCTAGGCACGTGGTTGAACTGAAGCCAACAAGGGCTTTCATATTTTTTAAGAAGCACGGGAATGAAGTAAAATCCCATGCGTCACAAATTTTCTTTCCAAAAAAAAAGACATGATTTTGAGAACAACCCTTTCAATTTGTGTATATTACAATTAGATCTTCATCTCATTTTATCATTGTTTGATAGTTTCTTCGATCGGAAATATCATTAAAGTTTTTTTTCTTTACTTTCTTTTAGTTTAAATCGTCACATAATTTTATAATCCTTTTACATCTTAACTAAGACTAAAAATTTAAAACTTTTCAATTCGCCGTTGTTAATCTTGGAATTAACTTGAAACTAAATTATGTTTATCTTCTAGTAAAACGAATCCTTCCGACTATTAGTTAAGATTGATAGATGACTGTAATATACATTTTAAAAGTTTAGTGATTAAAAGAGAAAATATTAAATATTTAGTGACTAACAGTGAAGTTTACCCTAAAACATAATATTTCACTAATTTAACCATCATAGGTTACCTTTTTACAATTTCCAAAATAAACCCATCGAAAAGAAATGCGGGGTTAGGTTTTGAAGGAAGATACAGTGACACTAAAATACAGTCTTCCACCAACAGTGCAAATTTTTCCGAAGATGTTGGCCTTATCCTGTGCTCCACCTGCTTATCCTGCGCTCTCTCACACACCTTCAAGACCCAAATGCACCGCAATCCGTTCAAGCTTTAGTTATGACCACCCTTTTGTCCCAGAGGTATATGTATATATGTTCCCATAAACACTGTTTTTCTTTTCTTGGATTGGTCATTTTAGTGGGCGGCGGGGAGGAACAAGAAGAAGTTTTAAAAAAGCCAGTTCAAGGCACCTTTTTTCATGCTAGGAACTATTGATGTGTAAATACAAGAACCCATTTCTATGAACTTGTAAAATGATAAAGTTCTTTGCTGGTTTAGTGAGAAAGGATGAAACTTTGTTGAGGTTCGATTTTCCTAGGAAATAATCAGAAAATCTAGGTTTTATTGGGAATTCATTATTGGGCCAAGTTTTTGCTTCTTGGATAATTGATAAGGACTTTGAAGGAAATTTTTTCCTGGTTTAAACTGAAACACTTAATTCAAGTCAAAGTTTAAAGAGAATTCAAGTTTGAGTCTTTTGAATTCTGAGTCTGGTTATGAGATAACATGACAACTTTTTCTCGAGAACTAAACAAAGTTTGTACATTGTTGAGTAGTTAATAAGATATATATTCAAGTATTTACAGAGATTGAAGTGTTAGCTTAAATTTCTAGTTTCGATTGCTGTAAAACTATTAGCCAAGCATTTTTATGAAGCTTTTATAGATGGATTGGGAATGTGAACCCTTGGCATTGATGTATATTCCATTTTATTTTGCTATGAGCACTGAAACTTTCGTGTACTTTGAAGTGTTAGCACCAGTTCAAGTTTTGAATGCTGTAGAACTGTAGAATTTGTAGTTTTAACCCATAGAGTTGCTTTATTTATCTGCACTGCAGGTTGCAAAAGCTGCAGATTCTCTGTGCTCTGAATTTAGGGCCGTTGATAATCTGGTCGCTTGCAATTCCTCCCGTGTTCTTAAAGCTTTTCAAAATGCTAGGGTTGGATCTCATGTAAGTTACACATTTATTTGCAGTTGAGAAACCATATTCTGCTTAAATATGTTATTAGAATCTTTGAGGTATCTTATGGCCTTGTACATGTATACATGTGAACATATAATTGTATATCCATGTATGGATATGCATGGCCTGTTATAACATGTATTTTTCAATCGGTTAATAATGCTGGAGGGCGTGCTGCCTTTATTAATATGCTTATTTTGTAACCAGCACTTTGCTGGGTCTACTGGCTATGGTCATGATGAAGCTGGTGGACGAGAAGCTCTAGACCAAGCATTTGCGGAAATTGTTGGGGCTGAGTCAGCAATAGTGCGTTCTCAGGTTTTCTCTATGTGCCTTCAACATTTGGATATTATGAATTCTTTATAGTTATCACTAATTCTTAAAAATCCTGTTGGCCATTTGGCCACCAGTTCTTCTCAGGTACTCATGCTATTGCTTGTGCACTGTTTGCTTTTCTAAGGCCAGGGGATGAGGTAAGCTATCTTGGTTGATAGTTCTGCACTACCTTGGTAGTTATACGATATTCAATAGCTTTTATTCAAATAGAATATGCTTGGGATTAATTTGATTGTCAGCTTTTGGCAGTGGCTGGTTCACCTTATGACACCTTAGAGGAAGTTATTGGAAAGAGGGATTCTCATGGAGTGGGTTCCCTGAAAGATTTTGGAGTGTTGTATCGGGAACTTCCTGTATGCTTCTAATAACTACACCTAATAAATTTCAGCTTCTGGTTATCAATGTGCTCTGAAATTGGTCTTCTTACAGCTAACCGAAGATGGTGGACTTGACTGGGATGCACTCACCAGTTCTTTGAAACCTCATACAAAATGTGCTCTCATACAGAGATCATGTGGTTACTCATGGCGTCGGAGTTTAAGTGTAAAAGAGATAGGGAGAGCAATACAGATAATTAAGGTAAACTGTTCATATTCTGCAAATATGATGGGAACACGATTGAATTTATTCATTGAAATGACCTCATTGCCGCGATAAAATCTAAGGGTTTCGGCTTGAGATGACCTAATTGCAACTTACACTGACAAATTATATTGTCTGGCTTTGATGGAAATGTTTTTATTAGTTCATTAAAGTACTTATTCATTATTCTCCTGTCTGAAAGGTGGAAAATGAAATTTTGTAGAAAAAAGAGACGGGATATTGTCTTGAAATTTCTTTATGCATTAGCATCTTGTTTAGTTATAATCATTTTCTGTTTTTCTTTTTAGCTTGGAAATCGTACTACTTTCACCCAGTTGATGTCCCCTCTCAATTCTCTTTTGTTTGAACAGAAGCAGAACCCTAACTGTTTGGTCATGGTAGATAATTGCTATGGTGAATTTGTGGAAAGCATTGAGCCTCCGATGGTGGTAGGTGGAGTATTTCACTTCTTTTTTTCTTTTTCTTTTTTCTGAAGAAGGGTAACCGTGGTTTTCAATGGTGGGCAGGGTGCAGATTTGATTGCCGGAAGTTTGATAAAGAATCCCGGTGGAACCATCGCACCATGTGGTGGATATGTTGCTGGTAGTAAAAAATGGGTTGATGCTGCAGCAGCTCGTTTATCAGCACCAGGCCTAGGAGTTGACAGTGGTGCAACACCCGGTGATATTATGCGTGCCTTTTTCCAGGGGTTGTTTCTTGCACCCCAATTGGTTGGCGAGGCAATTAAGGTGCATGAGCATGTTTCTTAGCCCACTAATTTTGTTTATTTATTATTCCCTTTTTCCCTTCTATGCAGCAATCAAAAACACGTATACTTCTTTATTTCCAGGGAACCTTTCTGGTTGCTGAAGTTATGGCTTCTGAAGGGTATAAGGTGCAGCCTCTTCCTCGAGTCCCCCGGAATGATACAGTACAGGTTTGCTTTCTGACTGCTCATTCTTACCCTATGTTTTTTCGCATTTCTATAGTAGATATGTTATATTATAAGAGTATCATTGTTTTAAGAAATGGTTTTACATTCTGGTTAGTTCATCAATATTTTCGTTTTTTGTACATTTCTTTTTCTACAAAATGATGAAAACATACGGAAATATCATTTTGCTCTTCTTTTCAGGCAGTGCAGCTTGGAAGTCGGGAACTTCTCCTTGCTTTCTGCGAAGCTGTACAGAGAAGCTCCCCCGTAGGTTCATTCACCAAGCCAGTTCCTGGTACAACTGCAGGATATGCATCAGAGGTCGGATCATATTTTACCTCGACCTTTATCTTTTATTTCATTTGGTATAGCTGGTATCTTTTACCTCCACTTTATCTTTTACAGCTTATGATACCATAAAGGTGCAGAAATGTCGGTGGTGAGTGCTTCTCTTATTGTATAAATACTATTGATTACTAGAATAATAGATCATCATTCATTCCCCTACATTTCTCTGCACCTTTATGATAGATATCCTGAGATAACAAAACTCTAACAAGTTCTATCATAGCCTCCGACGCCTTAGCCTGTTATGAATCCTTGTTTGTGATCAAGTCATAGGAAGATTAATGGGAATGCTAGTAGTCGCCTTCCCCTATTCTTGGAATGACCTTTAGGGTTTTGGGTAGCTCAGCTCGTTGAAGGGAGACTGAAACCATTAGGACTCGTTAAAAGAGAGATCAAGATTTTTTAAGGATTTTTTTTATGAAATTCTGACTTCGGGGTTTATTATTTGATCAAGTATAGTGAACAAAGCCTTCCAAGTCGTGAAATTGGAAGTTGTAAAGCGGGTAGAACTGAATGATTTGGACAGTGTTGGCATCTGAATTGATTACCACAGGGGCTGGGTGTTGGAGGCCACGATCGAAAGTTCTGTTACCATAAAGTGCAGAGAATGATGATCTATTATTCCAATAATATGCAGTATTTATACAATAAGAGAGTCTAAACTATCTCCTGAAATATTTGAGAATCAACTCAAAGAAAATAAAAACTGAAAAGATAATTGTTGTTGCTGCAAATTAGAACCAAAAAGATAGTTGTTGCTGCTCCAGAGTAGGGCCTGACTAAGTCATGCACTGATACTGTGGACTGCTTGAACTTGAGCATTATCCCGATTCTTAGGCTTATCATGGTCGTAAGTTAAACAAGTAGTCCAATTCAACCAAATTAGAGCTTTTAAGTACCGTTACCAAAGGTTACCAAAAAGTTGTATTCTTTTTTCTTTCTACCCCTTTTGTATTACTTATAGAGAATTGCACCTATACTTTATCAGGTTATATTTGCTGATGGAACCTTCATCGATGGGAGTACAAGTGAACTCTCATGCGACGGACCTCTAAGAGAACCATACGCTGTGTTTTGCCAGGTTTATATTCAATGAGATTCCATGTCTGGTCTGTTATATTTGTTATCACAACTGAAACCTGTAAATTTATCGGTTAATATGTTTGTCCTTCTGAATCATAAATTCACTTGAATCAACTCGTATTTAGGGTGGTACCCACTGGACTCAATGGGGACTAGTTCTGGGTGATGTTCTGAAATCTCTCTCATATGAAAATCGAAGTTTGAGAACATACGAGGCAAATGTGTTTCATTGTTATTCATCAAAGGGCATGTAGTCTTCTAAGGCTGGCATCGGAGTTGGGACATTTGTTGCCATTATCAGCAGAGCTTATTGCCAAAGTTTTACTTAAATATGGAATTAAAGCTCGGTCGATCCGGATATTTTGAGGTAATAAGGCATTCTTTTTCGTTCTTCGCCATTTTACTGTCGTTTCTTATTTAAACGAGCATCTCAACTCGCTACTCAAGCTATACGAAACATTCCCGAACAAGAACACAAGTAAATAATGATTTGGTGACACCCTTCTGAGATAACTGTTTATGGCTCATTATCATTCGGAACTATCTCCAAATTTTGGATGCAAAAAAATCTGGACATGAATGCTGTACAAACTTTAAATGTTCATTTCGGAGTACATGTATGTTTAACTATAAGACAATGAATGTAAGATCGAATTTTGATAAATGTTTTTTTAAAAACTTGAAACAAATGTGACGAATGTTGATCAAACACATTTTTTTCATATCTTTAATTTAACGCTCTTCTAATTAAGCTATCCCCGCTAATGCAATTTGTTTAGAAGTGTAGTTTTTTAACAACGAATTCTGATGTATCATACTGATTTAATTTTTTTATTAAATTGTAAATATAGATTTTTCAATAAAAAATCAACACCTTTAATAATTATTGTAGAAGCCTTGGGTAATTATTAAGGTAAAACATCATCCCATTGGACAGGATATCCAGTGATATCAACGGAGAGGGTTAAATTACATAACTGACACCGTTTTTTTTTTATTTTACTTTTCTGATACCGTTTGACTAATATTTCCAGAAGTAGCACCCTTTCTACTGAGTTGGCAAAGGTGCGTCCCCGGGGACGCGCTTTACCCGTGTTTTCGCTGAGTTGGATGCCACGTGTGGAAGGCGCGACGCGCCTTTGCCATATCAGCAGACACGTGTGGAAAGCGCATCCCCTGGGACGTGCCTTCCATTAAATGTCATAAATGCCCCCATCCGTTTTTCCTAACTACCCCTCCTCCTCCCCTATATAAACCCCCTCAACCCTCCCTCATTCTTCACACCAAAATCATATTCTCTTCTCTTATGTAACTCAAATTCTCCAACTATTTGAGTTTTAAATTTGTTATTAGTGGTAAGAAATTTATTTTATGTTAGTATTTTAAATAGTTATTATTTTATATTATATTATGTAAATATTATTTTTTATTAAAATAATATTAATAATTATTTATTTAGAATTAAATTTTTTTGCTAATTATATTGTTTTGTCTACAGTATAATGGAAAACGAAATGCTGTTGCGGGATATTGATCATATCTCCAGACATTTTAGCGATATGGTAATATTTTTTATATTAATGTTAATATTTAAATTTATTTATTTAAAGTATTATGAATTTATATTAATTTTATTTTTTATAATGTATATTATTTAGGATGCTGATCGTATTTTAGAGACTTTTATTAAAAATCCACGTATACCGAACCGAACGTATTTTGCCATATTTGGCTTCTGCCGGGTTCGGGTATATTGCACAATTATAGGTTGCAAACTCGAACCTGTCCTAATTTCTGCACTGATTGAGAGGTGGAGGCCCGAGACACACTTTTCACCTTCCATGTGGAGAGGCGACAATTGCATTGGAGGATGTCTCTATGCATCTGGGGCTTCCCGTCGACGGAAATATGATGTGTGGTATGGCCGATGGTGATTGGCAATCAATGTGCATTGATTATCTTGGAGCTGCTCCGCCAGAGTTTAATGGAGGTAGAATAGTTTTATCTTGGTTGAAAGCTAATTTTGAGGTTTTAAATGAAAATGCTTCAGAGGATCAAGCAAAGGCATGTGTTCGGGCATATATTCTACGAATAATTGGAGGAATATTGATGCCCGACAAATCTCGCAACCAGGTGCATTGTATGTGGTTGCGGCATCTGATCGATTTTGATGAAGCTGGAAGATATAGTTGGGGTGCTGCAGTTTTGGCATTTCTCTTTAGAGAAATGTGTCGGGCTACCAATTATAAGAAAACTGCTATCGATGGATGTCTTCTGCTTCTACAATCATGGGCGTGGTTCCGCATGCCTTTCTTATGCCCGATCGTGAATGAACCATACGTATTCCCCTTATTGTTGAGGTAATTTTCGAACTAAATTTTGATTTAAATATTTTCAATTAAATAGGGTGATATTAGTTTATATTATATTTCATAGGTGGTCGATGAAAAGAAAGGACCATAAAAGTATACCCTGGGTTAGAGGAAATTCGTTTACTTATTAATACGAAAGCTGGGTCTGAGGTATGTTTTTAAATTTGTTTAATTATTAATATTTTAATTTAAAATGTTAGATATAATTAGATATTTTATTTTTTGAATTGTATATTATATTTCAGTTTCAGTGGATACCTTATGCGAGCGATGAAGTGAAAGCTTGCATCCCACCCCACCTTAGTGGGTCATTAGAGGTATGGATATCGGTTATACCTCTTATATGTTATGCTATTATGAGTGGCATCCAGTTGATCGCGTGCTCCGTCAGTATGGTTGTACAATATATTCCTGGAGCTCCTAGGAATTTAGACGACGTGCATAACATAGATAGACGAGGGAAAAAAGATGTTAACTGGGTGGTGAGACACAGAGATTGGATTGCGCTTTGGGAGAACCGATATACACTGTTGGCCCCTCGACAATATTACGCTGAAACTGGTCATATGGTTACGGATAACTATATGGACTGGTTTAATGAAAATGGGAAGTCGTTTCTACTTTCGGCGGAAGCACGAGGGTTAACATTCTAGGCACCGAGAAAGACGTCAACCGTCTCAATATCATCGTCCCCCGACGGGACAGAGAGAAGGCGCTACCGGTTCTGCATCAGTCCCACCACAACATCCTTATTCGTCGATGCCGCAGGGGTACATGCCCAGCCCTCCACTTCATATGCCAAGCCACCAGTTATATGCCATCTCCGCAGGGTTACATTCCGAGCCCGCAGGGTTACATTCCTAGCCCGCCAGGTTACATGCCTAGCCCGCCAGGTTACATGCCTAGCCGCAGGGTTTTTATACCATATGGAGGTGCATATACGACTATGTTTAATGATCCAACATATGGTTCATATCTTATTTGGCTGGTGGTGCTTCTCCGCAGACACCTCTCCATCTGGATCACATACATCGATGCCATGTTTCCACAGTTCTCAGTTCCCGGGGGGCGGTGGTTTGTTACTAGCACTCCTACAGGCCCTTCAGCCCCTTCAGCGTCATCTATACCAAATGAAGAAAATGATGTTGATGATTATAGTGAAGATGAGGAGACTGAAGAACAAGTTCCACGAAGAAATCCTCCACGAAATAGACAACCACCTCCATGTGGAACTCATTCGAGAAGACGACATCGGTTATCCAGTTATATTTAATGTTATTTAAAAATTATATTTCAGAATTTTATGTAATTTGGTTATGTTATTTAAATGTTTCATGGTTTGTTACATATATTTTTTAATGTTATTTTTTACACATTTAACATTAATGTTGATAAATGTTTTTAAAATACAAAATTATTATTCGAAATTTAAAATAAAAATAAAAATATATTCAAATTTAAATTTAAAATATAAATTATAGTATTCGAAATTTAACATTAAATTTCAAACTTAATATTCCAATTGTATTCGAAATTAAAAGTTATATTCCAATTATAGTTCACAATACTTAAATTGAAATTAAATTATATACATATGATTTTATCATTAACATATATTAAAACGTATACATTAAAATCAACTTATGTTGAGTTAATCGATCGACGGAATCAGCCAAGAGGGGGTGAATTGGCAATTTATTCAATGTCACATTTCAATGCTCATTCCATACAATTCAATGTCACAATCAACTTATCACTTCACATTTTTCACTTTATCCTAACATTTTATCTAATTTATTCAAACTTCACATAACGTTTTAATTTAAGTATTCTTAACTTGCTGAACTTTCAAGAAGTTAATTTTAGTTATAATTTACCTTATTTACTGATATATCTAGTGTCCCCGAGGGACATGAGTGACATAATAGGGCAATGATAACATATTCTCTGACGAAATAATGGAAGGCGCGCCCCGGGAACGCGCCTTCATGTGAATAGTGAAATAATAGATATAATATATCTAGTGTCCCCGAGGGACATGAGTGACATAATAGGGCAATGATAACATATTCTCTGACGAAATAATGGAAGGCGCGCCCCGGGAACGCGCCTTCATGTGAATAGTGAAATAATAGGTACTGATATATCTAGTGTCCCCGAGGGACATGAGTGACATAATAGGGCAATGTAACATATTCTCTGACGAAATAAGGAAGGCGCGCCCCGGGAACGCGCCTTCATGTGAATAGTGAAATAATAGGTACTGATATCTAGTGTCCCCGAGGGACATGATGACATAAAGGGCAATGATAACTATTCTCTGACGAAATAATGGAAGGCGCGCCCGGGAACGCGCCTTCATGTGAATAGTGAAATAATAGGTACTGATATATCTAGTGTCCCCGAAGGACATGAGTGACATAATAGGGCAATGATAACATATTCTGACGAATAATGGAAGGCGCGACCGGGAACGCGCCTTCATGTGAATAGTGAAATAATAGGTACTGATATATCTAGTCCCCGAGGGACATGAGTGACATAATAGGGCAAGATAACATATTCTCTGACGAAATAATGGAAGGCGCGCCCCCGGGAACGCGCCTTCATGTGAATAGTACTCCGATTATAGACACTATATATGCAACGTATTATAAACTTTCAAAACAAACTTCAGTTCACAATCTTTCAATTCTCAATTCCCAAACTCTAATTCTCAAATTCTCTGAAAATGAGTCGTCTTCTGCTGTTGTTTTGTATGATGGAGAAATTAAGGAAGCTGAAGAGGGGGTTGTTTTTAGTCAGATCATTATCCCCTTAACCTTGAAGAGAAACATCACAATTGAGGAGTTAATCACAAAAATTTCGTTAAAGATTCGTGTAGCGGCCAAGAAGACTATCTTCACTTCAGTACAGATTTCCTACTGAACTTTTTCCGCTCACGTATACATCATTTCAGCTTTCAAACGATGATGATGTTTTCTATGATGGTTGATGCTCATATGGGGAGTTCACAATCTATTGAAATGTATGCCACTTTTATTGAGGTTCGTGCAACTCGTTCTCTCATATTCCTCTCACTTTGGCATTGCATATCAAACTGATCAAGTTGATAGCCCGACAAACTTATCTGTAATGATTTCACATCATAATGGCGGATCCAACGCATATACCATGCCATCAAGTTCAATAGGAAGGCATTCATCTGCAACTGCTTATGATCTCAACCCACGTGGCTTCACCAATAATCCATATGGCAACATCTCTTCTACTTCAAGGGGCAGACATCATCTGCCAATGTTTTCGACTTACATATGGAAATGCCAACGAGACGACAGTCTATTCACATCCCACATGATACAATGGCCTCAAGTTCAAGGGAAGGAACGCAAGCGGAACTTATTTGACCTCAACATTGGATTATCGGAGGAACCCTCATCTCCACCCGAAGAACCTCTTCGGGAGCCAGGTGCAGATGGTGCTAAAACGGATTATTCGTTGAACCTGACTCACCACAGTTTAACGTACATTCTGATGATGACGAGGATGACGTTCGAAATACACACCAGCGAACTTCCTGCACATATGTATGAGGCTGATTATGATGCAATGTATGAGCCTGAATTCCAGACCTCCTGATGTTGGCAACTATGGACTTCAATCATCAATCAATGACGGTAATTTACATATTAGAATGGAGTTCGCATCGAAGGAGGAAGCATGATGGCAATAAAGAGTTACAATATTCGTAACTCAGTTCAGTCCCGATTGATCGATCTAACACGGAGAAATATGTCTGCTACTGCGTCCAACGTCACAACGGATGTCAATGGATGGTCCGTGTATCAAAGAGGAAGAGGAAGAACAACTTATGGGAACTAACCAGATACAACGGTCCTCATACATGTTGTGCAACAGGTATAACCATGATCATCCAACTTGGACTCCAACATTATTTGTCAAGCAATCATGCCCATTGTGAAGCAAAGCTCTCATATAGCTGTTGCAGTGTTGATTTCTGCTATACAGTCACAATATGGGTACATTGTCTCATATAAAAAGCGTGGTTGGCAAAACAGAATGCCATTTGCAAACTTCATGGCGAATGGGATTCCTCTTATAACGAGCTGCCCAGTTGGTTTCATGTTGTGCAAAGACTTAATCCCGGGACAATTGTTGAGTTCGAAACTCAACATCATTACGTGAATGATCGAATGGTTCGCGATCGCTGCCAATTTTACCGAGTCTTTTGGACTTACCCTCAGTGTATTAATGCAGTCAAGTACTGTAAACCAATTGTCCAAATTGATGGTACTTTCTTGTATGGGAAATACAAGCAAGTTTTATTATTGGCTGTGGTCCAAGATGGAAACCGCAATATTCTTCATGTTGCGTTTGCCCTCGTTCAAGGAGAAGACACTGAGTCTTGGGCTTTTTTCCTTAAAAATTTACGTTTACATGTTGTCACCAGGAACGAGTATGCATTATTTCAGACCGAGGAGCCGGGATAAAAGCAGCAATGGACTCTTTGGGTACAATGTATAGACCTCCACATGTTCAACATCGTTATTGTGTCCGTGAATTGTTTCGTGTAACCGTGAATTGTTAGTTACAAATTTTTCTCGCACCCGTGAATTGTTTCGTGTAACCGAAATGCCACGTCCGCTGCAAGGGATTGAAGCTAACTCTTTCAGAGTTAATCTGCAAGAGATGTGGTGCGATTGTGGTTTCTTTCAAGCACTCAAATATCCATGCTCTCATATCATTGCTGCTTGCTCACATTCGCATTTGGACTACAAAAATTATGTTGATCCCGTATACCAACTTTCACAAGTATTCAAGGTATATGAATTTGAGTTTCCGCCCATAGGAAACGAAAGAGACCCAAATGAGATTCAAACTTGGCTTACAATTGTACCAGATCCATTGCTATTGAGGGACTCAGGTCGTCCAAAATCTACTAGAATACATTGTGATATGGATATTCGGGAGAAGTCAACAGAACAAAAACGATGTGGGCATTGTAGAAACATCGGGCACAATAGAAAAAATGTCCAGCTCTGTTATCATCATAACCGTTAACTCTTATGTAATTAATATGTATTTAAATGAATGTTTTTGTTTCTAATAATTTAATGTTATTGCATTTATAATTTGTCAATGTATGTACACCTAAATAATTTTTTTAACTTTTAAATAAATATATTTAATATATTTATTTTAATAATAATTAATATTATTAGTTATAATTTTTTTTTAAAATAATAATAATTCCACATTCTAAGTAGAGAAAAATATTAAATAACAAATTAAAAGTTATTAAAAAATTTATGTATACGATGACACATTTCATGTTCTAATTGGAGGATTAAATTTATTAAATTAAATTTTCAATAACTAATTTTATAAAATGTAAGTATTGAAGATTAAATATGTAATTATACTAATTTATTAACTTATGCATCATATTTTCGTTAAATATTGATATGAGATGACTAGATTGATAACATTTAAATAATTAACTGATAAAATATAGATCAAAATCAAAAATAATAATAACCATATGTGTAATATTATAATTTCATACATTTTTCCTATACTACAATAAGTCAAAACTGGTTTTCATATATTGTTATATCATATTAATGTAGATAATTCACTCCACCTTTAACACATATTAACAAAATACATTTGATAATTCTTACATTATATCGAAACATTTTACATAATATATTATTATTTATAATAATAATAAAAATAAACTATTTATTATAAAATAAATACGTGTCTGCTGAGTTGGCAAAGGCGCGTCCCCGGGGACGCGCCTTCCACACGTGGCATCCAACTCAGCGAAAACACAGGTAAAACACGTCCCCGGGGACGCGCCTTTGCCAACTCAACAGAAAGGGTACTACTTCTAGAAATATTGGTCAAACGGTGTCAGAAAGGGAAAATTTAAAACAAACGGTGTCAGTTATGTAATTTAGCCAACGGAGAGCATACACGTGGCACACTTTCAAAGGATGTAAAATAGTCCAAGATAAATAAAAGGTAAAATATAGTTTGATTTGGAAATTATTGCTAATACAGTAATACTACATAAGCCATGAAATTTTCAGTACACAATCCAAAATCGATAGTACATTTCTAGAACATAGCCAATGATAACAATTCTGCAAATCACTTCAAGTTCTCACCCTTGAGTTCATTAAATGAAGAGTTTTACGAAAAACCCATTTGCTGTTGCTCAATAAAAACTCCCAGAGCTGCTTCTCTGCAGCCAAAAAGGTTCAAGTTGGGAGCTTTTGGGAGGCAAAGATGGAGTTTTGGTGAAGTTTGTAGGGACAAAGATGGGATTTTTTGGAAAGAAGAAGGGTGGAAGAGGAAGAGAAGAATGGTTTTGGTGATGTTTAATCGAGGCTTTGGGTTTAATCGTGGCGACGGTGGCAGTAGTGATGGTGGAAGTGGTGGTGGGAAAATTAATAGCGACACTGCTAGGCTTCTGGGAAATATTGCTTTGGCTATCGGGTTGACATATCTTTCAGTCACTGGTCAAATTGGCTGGGTTTTAGATGCTATTGTCTCTATTTGGGTACTAATCCTTTCTCCTTCTCATATGCATGCATGTAAAGTTTAGATTTCTACTGTGTTTTTAAACATGAATTATATGCTTCCAGTGGATATAATTAGGGTTACGATGAGAATTAACCATGGTTCCCCATATTCCTGGTTTGTTTTGCTATTCCATTTTCTTAGCTAAAAGCAAAGGCTTCACTTATTGTTTACTGGTATTGGGTGAATTAAGAGAGTTTTTATTTTCCTTTTCCTTTTAAATTTCGGTGCAATGTTTCATTGGATATCAATGAATGAATGATTACAAGTTGACTATGTGATATCTGATGTCATACTTGTATACTTGTTTCCCTTGTTCCGAAAAATGGTAGCATTAGCTGGTGTGTTGTGTGGCACCATTTTTGTTTTGTGAAACCATCTCAAGTATAGTACCTTCTTATATAATTGACTAAGATTAGGACTTTCAATATTGATATTCGTTCATATAGTCTCATCTAATTGCTGGTGTTGTCATCGCCAGCTCATTGCAGTGATCGTTCCTATTGTTGGTGTGGGAGCCTTCCTTTGGTGGGCGGGGAGGGATATTGTTCAAAGCAGTGTAAGGCTTCTTCAACTTTTGGTTCCTTGTTCAGCTTTTATGCATCTTCCTTGTTCAAAGCGATGCTCGAAGTTTTCTAGTTGCTTATCTTTGTCAATGTGTCAATAGCTTCAGCAGCAGTTCTGATCTTCGGTTTCGTGTTTTTGAAATCCTCTGGATAGGGTTGTTATTGAAAGAATGATCTGAACTTGTTGGTTTGAAGTGCTTGTGTACTTACAGGTTTATATCTATATACAAAATATTGTGGAAAAGAATGCTTCAAGGGTGTATGAACCATGGCAAACTTGGTACTTAATATTGCTAATAAAATCATACTAAACCGAGTAATAAGAAGAAGAAGAAGAAAAAAAATATTGATTTATCCCACTTATACCCCGAAATTGCAAGAGCCTGTCTAACTGTTCATGTATATGCTACTGTGATGTTTACTTTAAAAACTCCTTGCCTGTGCTTCTAAGAATCAAATATGTTCCTGTTTTATTTTCCAAAATGCAGCCGTGAAATTGCCAGAGCCTTGTTGTCTGACTGTTCATGTATATGCTATTCCGATGTTTACATTAAACACTCCTTGCCTGTTCTTAGGAGTATCCAATATCGTACCATATTGTTTTCCGAGATGCGGCTGTGTCTTATCTGGTGTTCTAATAATGTGAATAAACATATGAAACTTTGTCTACTGCTGACCACCTTTAATAATATCTTATATGATTGCAGTGCCCAAATTGTGGAAACGATTTTCAGATTTTCAAGTAAGCGTTATGAGCACCTCTTAGCAAACTTATGGACTTTTATGAGATGGTTTTGGAACTATTCTGACACGGATGATAATGACGATTTCTTAGGTCTTTCCTAAACGATGAGTTGCAGCTGTGCCCTTACTGCAGTCAACCATTTTCAGGTTAATCTGTTTATATTAATTGGCATGTCTTCGTCTTTAGACTCATGAAGACGTCTCCATGGAGTAGGCTGGATAATTCGGCTGATAGCTATCTGGACTACCTCATGTCCATTTCATTTTCACTTTGAGTCGGATTCACTAGCTTTTCATGTTTTATTGACTCGTTGATCTAAATGTAGTGGTGGATGACAAATTTGTCAAGGAACCTGTAAAGTTCTCCAACGAAGCCTCGAAAGCAAAACAAGCATTCAATGGCTTCTCTCCTGGTTTCAAGAAAGGTGCCCTCTTTTAACACCTGATATTTTTGGCTTTTGGAATTATTTTCTTACAGGATTTAGTATTAACTGTCATGTGCCGTGATACTATAACTGGATTAGTATGTTTTCAAGTTAATCGGGTTGTATTTTATCTAACACAATCAACTCGAATCGTTTTCAAGTCATAGAAAACTGGTCCTGAAAAAGGGCAGAAGATTAAAAAATGCGACAGTTCTATGAGAAACAGAACATGTTATTTTGCAACACGACTAAAGTACGTTGTGCATTTAAAATCATGATTCTTCTATCCATCAATTTATGTTGTTGTACATGTTTTACATCAAGAACACGGAGGAGGAAAGTCAAAAGGATTTTTCATATAGACTTTTATAAACATCAATTGTATATCAGATAAGCATAGTAATTTAAGTTCACCGTTTCATTAATTCCGAGTATCTCTCAAATGGTTTGTTCAGGAAACGTTTCTTCGGGGCCGGTTGTTGATGTTGAAGCAGAAGTGAAAGATGCGGATTGAGAGCTAGCATAGACGGTAAAGAACTTAAAATGTGTGCATTACTTCGAGCTTTCTGTACCCTAGCAAGTGAACGAAATGTTTTTTCTCGTATTTTTCATGTCGGATAGTTAATTTGCTAATGCTCCAAATATTGTTGCGTAAGACTCTTTTGTTACTTCTTTTCACCAGAAATTCGAGTTGCTAACAGAGTGGGTGCAATCTTGCAACTTATGCATATCTATGTATATGTCTTGCACCGTCGGATCGGAGAACACTGCAGTGAAGAGGATTGTCATGTTGTAGATGAATAACAGGAATGTGACATTGCAAATGCTCGTTCGATTTTGATAAACTGTGTCGGTATAGCGTAACTCTATATTTTCTTCATCCTTCGTTCCGGTAGAAGTCGAAAGAATAGGTCACTTCATGTTCTGCACTGCATAACGCTGTATATAATTTGTTGGCAGCTACTATATATCTGTTTCTCTTCCATTCTCTTCATATTTATGGAACTTGTAATCCATTTTAAAAGATAGAATTTCGAAATTTATAAACCATATCTTTAGTTGTACCTATTTTCGTTCTAAGAACACCATATCCAATTATTGGCCATGCAACATGCCATAGATATATAGAACATGTGTCAAGGTAAGTATATTCAATTTCTTAGATATTTTTTCATATACTTGAGGGATTATATAGTTTCTTTGGCTTTAGGAAAATCAAAAGACCTCATCCAGTCCAGCGGGACCGTTGGATTCCTTACTATATGTGTCGACTATCCGATGATCAATCGGTTGATCTATTAAATTTTTTAAAAAAATATCTGAAATAATTATAAAATAATATTTATATTTAGAAACAATTCGTATATGTTGCACATGTAAATATTTAAATTTAAGATTATAGAGAGAATAACATTATCATCTATTACTGAAATCATTTGATAAATTCACAATTTATTAATTTTTGTAACTGAATAAAGTTTATTTCATCATTTTTCTTCTTTTGTTTAGGTTTATCATAAAAGCTATTTTATGGCCCGTTTTGCTTTCTTTCGTCACCTAATTGGCTGATATATAAATATAATAATATTTACTTTTTATTCTATTTTATTTATTCAGATATATAATTTATATTAGGACGCATACTGCTTTTAATACAGAAATTAATATTCTCGTGTTATAATAAAAAAAAAGCGTACATTACGCTTACCTATAGACTGTGGCGGATATATGGAGATATGTCTATTTTAAAATTAATTTTTTTTTATTTTCTATTTTTTTATTGATTGTACACATTCTAAAATTGTATTTGTGTTTACTCCATACAATTTTTTTTTGTTATTAATATATATATATATATATATATATTTACTCTAAAATATATTTTTAAATTCGTCACTCACTATAAATTCAAACATATGTACTGTTAAACAATGACAGAAGATTTGAGAGTGATTAACAATTGATTATCAGTATTTTTTTTTTAATAATGATAACTAAATTTTATTAATAAAATAATAAAAGGAATTAGAATTGAAAAGTAATATTATTATGTTAAGTCTATTACAGACACAAATTTGTGATTACGACCATTACTATCAAATTTATAAAGACACGTCCAGCTCAAGCAATATGTTCGTTGTCTCACTATGAATACATTATTACGTGGAATAGCTTGAAAATTGTGGATGGCAATTCTGGAACGGCACAAATGTATGAACATTGAGTTAATTAGGAAATTAATAAGGTTTTGGTAGGTAAATGAAGTATGATTAGATGAGTCGTGAAAAATCAAACTTTAATCTTTATGGTCAACAATGTAGGTTTGAAAGGGAAGAAAAATAAAATAAAACAAGCACATGGTAACGGTTGATGTCGGCGAGACGGTGACACTCTACTCGTCTACTAATAAAAAAAAGAAGAAATTGAATGTTTGTATCTTTATGAATTTTTACCACGAAATATGGATCTAAATCTTCACCAATCTGATCATGTGTACAGGTCTATCTCTATCATGGGTCTCCATAAATTACTTATTTTACTATACATATATATTGTCATGAATTGGTCAACTTGGCATAGTGTCAAGGTGAAAACATGGTCGGTGAAGGGTGGGACCACTCAAAATGAAACCCCCACATGATTGCCCCATCTCCCAATTGACCCACCATTTATTTATAGCTGCCGAAAATATAGGGTCCCATCTTTTTTTAAACTGTTGATTAACACCTACTAATCCTAAATTAGCCATTAAATATGTTAATTTGTTTTGAAAATGAAGATTCCCTTTTTGGGGATAGTCTTTAAGTAAAGCCTTAATCCAACCATTATTAGAAGATTAGTTTAAGGTAGGGATGCAATTGGGAAGTGTGTGAACTGCAACATCTGTTTGTTTTTTGCTGGAGTTCTTTACTACCCAAACTGGTTTTCCGGACAATGCTCTCTTTACCCAATTTGATCTTTGCATTTGCAAGTTTGTCGTCCATGTTTGATGGTGATGTATTTGACTTATTACTTTATTAAATGAAGTACATAAATAATTATTATGTTGAAATAATTTTTTAATTATTGAAATTTTATAATTTAAAAAATAATTATTAAATTTATTAAAATATTTTAAAATCATATATATCTTATAAAATAGGGTAAAATACACAAATGGTCCCCTGGTTATAGAATACTACTTTGTTATGTCGCTCAACCATTAAAAGTTATAAAATGATCGATCGACTATAGGGAGTTGCTTTGTTGAGTCCCTCAACTATTAAAAGTTATAAATGGTCACTCGGCTATTCATTATGTTTCAAACTCGTCCTTTTCCGTTAAAAAAATAACAGTCGTCTAAACTGGACGTTAACATGTTGAGTGATATATGATATTCGTTTGAGATTATATAATTATATTTTATCATATCTCAATCAGGTAACATGGCTCAGACTGCCATCAAAATTTTAACGGAAAATGACGAGTTTGGAACATAATGAATAGTTAAGTGACTATTTTGTAACTTTTAATAGTCAGTGACTCAATAAAGCAACTCTCTATAGTCGAACGACTATTTTATAACTTTTAATAGTCCAGGGACTCAATAGAACAATATCTTATAATCAAAGGATCATTTGTATACTTTACCCAATAAAATAATAATAGATTTTGATAAATTTAAAAATTATTTTATAATGATTTTATAAATGAAATTAAACATGAGACTAATAAATATAAATACAAACCATCTATTATTTAACCTAAGGGCTAAGATTATTTGTAAAATAAATTCTAATAAACAAGTTTTTTATATAAATTATTTTAATCATTCACGGTACAAATGTGATAAATATAACATATTAAAACTATATTTTAATGATATTTTTTTATTATTACACTACAAGTTGAATTGATATATTAATTTGAATTGATATATTAATTTGAATTTATTTATTAAGATAAAATTGATTTGAAAAACGGCAAAATGCATAAATAAAAAAGGAAAATTTAATAAATATCATAAGTCGACTGTACGCCAAATGTGCACAGTACCACGTGGAAATAAAGCTCAAGTCACCGCCTGCCAACGTGTCGTCTCTCAAAACCGTAATGCATGGCCCCACATCAACCTTCAATCATACGGCCAAGATCTCATCGCGAAACCTTCCGCGGTTCTGCTTCTCGTATACAAATATCTTCCACCACCTTCCATTTACAATCTCCCTCACTTCATAAAGAATTATTATTTTCTCACCTCATTTTCCCGAGAAAATTTCAGTTTTCCTTTTTAAGCTAATGGCAAATCTAACGCTCTCTCTAAAAACAGTACTGATATCTACTGGAGTCATATCCATGGCCTTTTTGTTTAAAGTTTCAGCTCCGTTCGTGACTGAATTTGTAATGTCTGGTATTCCTTCAACTTACGGTTTAATACTTTCTTTCCTTCGGCCTCCGTACCTTTACCTTCTCATCAACTGCATCATCATCTCCATCGTCGCTTCTTCCAAGCTCCAGGCGCAGAAGCCAGAGTCTGCTCAACTCAATCATCCGGAGATAGTTTCGCCGGAGTTCAAGGATTCGAATGAAGTATTTAGTAACGAGTTCAGTTATGGAACCGCTCCAGCAAGAGTCCTGGTGATGGAGGAGAGTAAGCGAGCGGTGGAGGAGGAGCAGGTTAAAGTGGTGACGGAGGCGGCGCCATTGAGGAGTGAGTCTATGGAGATTGTGAATTTGTTGGGGGAGAAATCGGCGGAGAAGCCACCGGTGTCGAAGAGATTCGCTCAGCGGAAAGCTGTGAAAGTGGCGACGGAAGGTAAACCACTATATACCTTAAATCTCTCAACCTCTATAGCATGAGATTTCAAAATCAAACTATAAAGCACATTCGTGAAAAGCCAACAATATCAAGCAAAGTATAAATACTTTTTCCAAAAGCTTAACGTAAAAGAATTTAAAATAATAATAAGTGCAAATTTTCATTTTAAAATATTGAACTGTGAGGACAGAACAGTAAATTTGATGATGGATTCAAAATTTTTGCAGGGAAAGCGTTGAGAGTGTCGAAGCCAAAACGGCACGATACATTGGAGGCGACGTGGAAGACGATAACGGAGGGCCGTCCGATGCCGTTAACACGTCACCTGAAGAAATCCGACACGTGGGAACAACGTGTTCAAAAGGACCCTAATACCCCTCACCCTCCTCTCCCCAACACCATGAAGAAATCCGATACCTTCAACGAACGCATCAGGGAGCCGTCACTCACTCGGTCTTCCGGATCGGGCAAACTCAAGAGAGACCCTTCGTTGAGTCAGGACGAATTGAACCGCCGAGTTGAAGCATTCATTAAGAAGTTTAACGAGGAAATGAGGTTGCAAAGGCAGGAGTCTCTGAATCAGTACCAGGAAATGCTTAGGAGAGGGGCACAAATACAATAGAGATTTTAGTACTCTTTGGGGGTTAAAAAGTAAAAGTATCGGCTCTTATTTCACATTTACCTTTTTTTTAGTGGGTAAATAGTTCCTGCTTTGTGAAAATGTCTTTTCTTTTCTTCATTGGAATTCCATGATTTTGTATAACAGCTAGAGTATAGCATATACAAAGAATACAGAATACAAGGTGCCCTTTTCTATATTATCATCTTAAATATGATTATAATATTCAAAACATATAAACACCACAAAAATTTATATGAACCTCATGTTGAATTATGAAAATGTCATTAAATTGAACATCTTGGCGGACAGTTGTGGTTGGCGAAAGACTGATGTCATTTCATTTGCACTATTTTTAGAGCAAGGTTTGAACAAAATTTTATCCGATATCTCCCTCCTTGCCATTAAGTTATTGTAATTAGGGGTGTAAATGGACCAAGTCGAGCTCGAGTAGTGCTGAGTTCGATTTGATTCGAAAACCCTGAAATGAAGCTCGACTCGAAAACTCGCGAACTTAATACTTTCAAGCTCGACTCAAACTTGAAATCCTGAACTGAAGCACGTGAGCAGTTTGAAATGAAAAAAAAAAATCTTAAACTTAACTCGAGTCGAGTCCATTCGATCCGAGTATTTATAGAGTCGGTCTCGAGTAACTCGTGATCTATCTTGTCTCATTTACCGCCCTAATTGTAATGTTCAAATATGTCACAGGTTCGATGAATCAGGCTCACACATCTTTTTTCCAGAAACTGAATATTTGGTATAAGCTACTCTACAATCATATCCTTTCCTTATTTGATCCAATTGACTGGAAATCTTTGTTTTCCTTTAAAAGGTGATAAATGTTTTAAAGTTAAACTCGAACAATCTAAAATATCTTAACGAAAGTACAATAAAACATAGAACGTAATTTAAAATGTGAAGTTACAAGTTACAGCACGAATCAAAATCTTGGTAAACAATTTCGGTGATAAAAGAATTTTTGTTATTTCTTAACGTTTCGGGTTCGAACATGATGAACATATATTACTTTATATTTACCCTCATATTAATAAAAAGAAAATTAAAATACATATATTTTTACCATCAATAACGGGGGATGACGATAATTAAGCGATCAAACTGATACAAAAACCAAAATCTATTACCTAAAATTAAAATATTTTAAAGTTTAATGATAAAGTCGATAAAAAAAATAAATGGAATAAGTTCCATGTTAACACACATCAATAAAGTTTAGTAAAGTTCAAGAATTTAAAACCTAGTGATAAAAACGAACCAGACCTAGAGTTCAATGATACTTGACACAGCCTGTGAAGACCCCAATTTTCCCATACAAAACAACAAACCACGTAAAGGGCTTAAAACCTTGTCATAACCTGTTTTTCACAAACACTTTTAATCGATGATTCTCGGGGTCCGGGAGGATATACAGCGATAGACTAACACGTACATAAGGAAGAACAGAATACTGAAGAGGAAATTGAACAGCCTGACTTGAATTCCTCAATTTTACCCGACAGGATGACGGAATTCCAGAACATATTTTCTTCAGTCGCTAAGGAACCGTCCTACAAGACCATAAATTGAGCACGATTAACATCAGTTAACCATATTTTCAGCACTTCACAGAGCTCATCCTCAATTAACCATGTCTTATATACATGACTCGCAGACCTAATAACAAGAACTGACTCTCTTACTGCAAACATTCCATGCTTGCAAGAACAATGGTAAAATACGAGATATATCTATTTCTCTATCTCAGCTTTATGAGACACGAAAAAGAAAACCTTTTTTTCAGGGAATAGATGGAATGCAGTGTGGAAAGGAATCAGACTTGAAATCTAACCTGACAACTGTCGATCAGTAGGATCGCTTTACTTATTATGTCGAAGTGGAAACACACACGAGTGTTGGCATGCCACCGATAATCTCTTTTTTCCTTATTAAGAAGTCGAGCATCTTTCAGCTTTCCATGGAACCTGCTCTGAAACCGATGTAACTGCCATATAAGAATCAACATTAAGTCAACAAATGGCACAAGAAGAGAGTTCCTGACAAAGCTATTTGTAACTTACACAAAATGTAAACTTTATTTTGTCCTACAAGACTTTTTTTGATTTTTCCTAGGTATAGGGTTCCAATTAAAGGCTTTTGAAACAGAAAACATAATCCTCAAAACACCATAAACAGACAATGCAATATAAATGCAGGTCCAATAAACTATCAACGAATCACTACAACTGCTTCAGATGACTTTGTTTTTTTTTTTGTTTAGTTCGTGTGTTCTTTAGTTTTATACTCAGCCGATATATATGACCAAATACTATGAATTTACAAGACAGATTACGATGAACACACGCACGAGTGTTGGCATGCCACCAATAATCTCCTGTTTTCCTTATTAAGAAATCAAACTTCTTTCAGCTGTCCATGGAACCTGCTCTGAAACCGATGTAACTGCCATATAAGAATCAACATTAAATCAACAAATGGCACAAGAGAGTTCCTGACAAAGTTATTTGTAGCTTACACAAAAATGTACTTTATTTTGTCCATCATGACTTTTCGGATTTTTCCTAGGTATAATATACAATGCAATAAACATGCAGGTCCGATAAACGATCAACGAATCACCACAACTGCTTCAGATGACTTTGTTCTTTTGTTTAGTTCGTGTGTTTTTTAGTTTTATACTCAGCCGATGTAATATGACCAAATACGATGAATTTGCGAGACAGATCACGATGAACACACATACAACTATATGTGTACCTAGAAAACATGGTAACTTAAACTCCTGTTGCTAAATAACAGACAAATATAGAAAAAGATTCCAGTAACAGAATAAATATGGAAAATTTATATCTGTTAACAAATTACCATATATAATATTATATATTATCAAATTGCATAGACTGAAAAGGAACTCAGTTATGTTTCCAGACAAAGGCCATTCAATTAATGCAGTGTGAAGTTTATTACTAAACATAGCTTATTGAATTAATTGCAGAAAAAAATTTCAGAGTCGTGACATTTAAGTACTTGGTGGCATTACTAATTATAGATTAGGATCAAAAGTAGCCAACTCAACCACAGAATGTCCAACTACTAAAATTCAAGGGGAAATTTTCCGTTTTCAGATCATTCACAGGCAACATATCTGTTTGAACTTGCTTAATTATGAAGGCGACTGTTTTGATTGCCAATAATGAAGTTTTCCTTCATCATATTGATACAGAACACAAGTTTTTGTCTACTTATCATTCATACCAATCATTTGCATCTTCCTTGATGGGAGCTGCAAACTTACGGCATGATGAACTTGACATTGAACATGACTTCTCATTTGTTTTTATAGGTTCTTGTATTATTGTTCCTAAGATATTTTAACATGATTCATTTGAGAGAAACTAAATCTAGAAGAAGAGTTGAAAGGAAATCAACAGTCATGACATGAAGGAAACTAGTGGAATAATTCTTGCAATCTAAATGTTGTGTTTCTACCATTTTTCCCCGTACTTTTGATGGTGCTAAAGATTTTAGATTTTGTGCTAGACCAAGATTAAGCATCAGCTTTCATTTCATTCCCAAACAGCAATCATCTCACTTCAAGAGCATGTTGTTCGAATACATATACCGTAGGACTCGGTACTGATTTTTTTTCTTTTTTTTCTAAAAGTTCTCAAGACTAAGAAATGAAGGATCTACTCCGTTTTCCCCATGAACATCATAAAACAAGAAGAAATATTCTTCATAGTGCTATCAGTAATATTTACCTATCAGCAAATTGCTCCTTTATTTGTTAATTACTCCTAAGGTTTAAACACCAAATTCGTCTTTCCAATATAAAAGAACTACAATGCACAAAAAACTTTCAAAGAGCAATTTCACAATAAAATTAAGAGCATCGACCATTGCACCTGTTAATACTTAATAGGGTTTAGTCGCATGCATTTCAAGTTCATGACAGATTATTATGATTTAGGGACAGATTAACATAATTAGTATGGTTTGATTTTCTAACTTATAGAAAAATTGTTTGTAAACGGCAGTCCTAGGGTACTGCAAAGTAGCATAGCAAGTTTATCACAACAGTCGGTGTGAGGGTTTAACCGACAACATAAAAAAGATGATTAGAAGTTTTCCATCCACAAAAGAACAAACTTCTTTGAAGTTTGCTGACAGATAACAGCAAGTATAAAAGGAACATCCAACACCTTCGATGAGAAGCAAAATGTTCACACTGGTCTCTGAACGCTAAACTCGTTTTCAAGCATCAGTTGAGCTCTGGAAAAGAAAGTGTCAAATCTTAGGACGGTGAAACAACATTTTCTAGACAAAAATTAAAAAAACATAAACATATCATATATCAAAATTATAATCTTTCATTATACCATCAGCTGAGAAACTACTATTCCCTATGCATGTTAGAAATTGTTCATATCATGGGAAAATACAAACTATTCTACTGAGATGAAAGATTAAGGTTTACCATAATGATATTATACGCATCAAAATTATACTCAAAGATTAAAGTCGCCTACAATAAGTAATGCTTTATGTCATGTCGTTAGGGAAACAAGAATTACAATTATCATGTTGTTACTATTTCTATTTCTATTACTATCACTGGTATCATTGCTATCATATTATAATCTTATTTGCAGCCTTATCCTCGCGTATGGCCGACCTTTTCATGAAATGCATCAACCATTGAACTAGACATATTATATAGATTTGAAGCAGATTTTTTTTCTTGAATCACTCAATTAAGGAATAAATGGACACCAGAAAATGTTGTACTTATCAGACAGGGCACAGTAAAATGATAAGTTTAATTAATTAGTACACATACCTTCACAACAACAACGGGAGCCTTATTCTTTTTGAATCCCATGACCAATTGTCCATCCGCTTCTCTTTTATAAAATGTAACTGAAAAGTTCATCACTCGGTTACTAGTTATTAAAATCAGAATTCTTGGGTGAAACAAAATAAATCTTGAAGCTTTTGAAAATATTTAGAAAATCACAGCTAGATATATTTTGTTTTAGGTGCATGAACTGTCATTACTAAATTTTAAACATATTTTAAAAATACATCTGATGATATTGTTGTACCTGAGATGTCTACTGTTTAACAAGCACAACTAAGGTCAAATTTGCTACTTGTTTGGAACAAAATAGTAAGCTAGAACGGAGAAATAAGAAGTAAAATATACGATTCAAATGCCAATTCCACTGAAAAGGAAAAACCGACTTGTCAAAAAAGGGAATAGAATCATTAGACACTTAAATCAATTACTTGTATCACCCGCTTCCCATTGCATCTGGATCTTGTAATCTCTAAGCCCTTCAAGAACATACATCTTCCCACAACTATTTGTCCAGTAATGGAAGTGAAGTTCCCAGGCATTTCCATTTGTGTCTTGCACCGTGAGGAAGATTCCTTGTTGCCCCGAAGTCTTTGGGAAATAAGCCTGTGATAATCTCTTTCAATACATGAAATATATCCACTCTTTACCGGGGAAAAATATTAAATATGGTGGATTTTCGGAAGCCAGACTAGAGCTCATATATATATATATATTATATGAAGACTGACATTCCAGCTAATATGACTCAAATAGTTAAGTGTAAGTCATGCAAATAAAATATATAAAAATACTAATAGAATCTTAAATTACAATAAATGTAAATTCTGCGTTAAAAAACTGATTGATCACAAACTCCATCAAGGAACTTAATTTATATTCCTATTAATACAAAATTTAGAAATTAAAACATGTATTTATATGTATAAATATTTAATGCAAAAACTTACTTCTGCGCATCTCTTTGGTAACAGTAAGCGCCCATTCCTGAATTCAGCATCGCTAAAAGTCAATTCTTTCTCAAACAAAGGAACAAGGCTTGATTTTGACCTGAAATATGATTAAGGACTACTTTTTAAGACGTTAAGTTCAAAATGAACCAGTATATTACATTGAAGCTATATCAAGATAAAATATCAAAATAACACAGTAATAAATGTTAGACCCCTTCTAATATCATATAGTACAGCAATCACATAATCCTTCAAAAAAAAAAAAGCAAACAGCATAATAGATATAAACTGAAGGTTAGCGGATACTGTCTGCATATTTCCCTTAGCTCCTCTGAGCTTATCTTGGGTGAGTACCTATATTGTATTTGAGTCTGTTTATTGCCATCTTTACGACGCTTGCCACCATTCTTCCGACGAGAGTTTTTGGTTTCATCAGGTGAATTCACAGAGTCTTCTTCTTCAGTTTCTGCTGGAGGAGATTGGGCTTGATGTCCAGGAGTAGTTGGAGTGGCTACCTTATTAGGTGAGGCGTTGCGTATAACACAATCAGGTGGTGAAATTGGATCAACCCCTAATTTAGTTCCAACAACATGAGTGCAAGAGTCACTTTACCTTCCTAGTGGAAACCATATAAATGACAAGCTATTGCTGTGAGTGCTGAAGGAGAGGAGTAAGATAAAATTATGGAATTTCGGCATGCATTCCTTATTTGTTTATCAATGAAAAGAATAACAAAAATACTTTGTTGAATTTTTTAATATACTATGAACAATATTTTTTTTCTCTAATTTTAATTCATTCCAAAAGGCAAGATATATTGAAATTTCACCAGTTATCATTTTCTCTGGGTCAGCAGATGGTATTTGAGGAGAGTCCGTTGCTTGCAGCAAAGCCTCAGGGAGTCCAAAGTCTAGAGAGCATCGGTGCGGTGCCTGAAATAGATGTATATCTAAACTTTGATAACTTCATATTTAGATGAAGAAGGACTAGAAGTAACTTCATATTTAGATGAAGAAGGACTAGAAGAATTCAACAAAATATATGCTAATTTGAAGTTTGAAACATTTATTTTTAAGGATAATGGTATTATATATATAGATTATGCAATTCGGTATAAAATGTTAGTTACACATGAAAAGGGCATGAAAAAACAAAGATAGGATAGCCGGATAATTGACTCCTACCATAGCTTCGTTTATGGCACACTCCATACATTGCACACCGGTAGAGTCCAATATTGTATATGTATGGGCTGCCATAATACATCCACAATGAATTTTCTGTAACAAATGGAAGAAAAATCAAGCATTAGAGAATAAAGTTTGCATACTCGAAAATAAAATTAAAGAGAAATAACCTGAAGAGAAATTCTATACAATCAGCTACATACCTGGAAAAAGAAAATGCAAAATCATTAAGAATTTTCATCTTACCTTCTTACAAGAAGCGCACTCTCTCCAGCCAGACTCTTCAGGATGAAAAGTTTCACACAATGTTCCTTCATTAAAAGCGTAACTGAATTTGCAAAAGACTGAGTTAGGTTCTTTATGAACACTACAGAGATAATAAACTCAGTTTTTTTCAAGGGTTCCTGATAACACCTTCTTAGGAACACAAATGAACCTAAAATAAGGATAGATGCGTGCACCAAAACTCAAACGTAGAATCATAGATGCATGCACCAAAACTCGAACGTAGAATCCATGAAGTCAAAAGCAAAGTCTAAGCACATGTTTTCATATTGTAATAATATGAAAGAGCACAAGTAATTCAATACATGAAAAGAAACAAACTGCCATCCAAAAATGAAAAGCAGCAATCAAGAAGATGTATGCAACAACCCAAGTAAACATTAACGATCAGTTCTGAAAAATAGACAAGCTATTGCAGGGAATATATATATATAGTGTGTGTGTGTTTGTGTGCCATCATTAGTATGCAAATAATTCAGCGTAAGATATTTGAGATAATGTTGATATATTAAATACTTTCATAAATGATGCGTTTTACTTTATTAAATGACTGTGCATGTGCGCTAGCGAACAACCTCCGACAAACCAAGAGACAGTTAGAGTAAGAGAGGAAGGGAAAGTAAGGACAACAACCAATTGATAAATAACTTATAAAGCGACAGATGTATGCAATGTTACTAAAAGTAGAACATACAACTCCGTTTTATCATCCGATGCCCGTATCACTACTCACTATAACTGTAACCGCAACAGATTTTTGACAATACACCGAAAGATTTCAAAAAGCATGATGAAAAGGACTTCTTGGTTTTCTAGTAAGCTAAAACTAGACCAAGTATCATTTTACCGAAAATGTCATACTTTTGAATCATTTTTCTTAGATGTTTTATTCACCATTAATGGTAAATATATGATGTGCTGCCATAGAATTGCACACTATGCAGATTGCCGACATCTATACTCAAGTAATACACAGATTTGAAAACATCGAACACAGAAATAGAAAATAAAGATCGCTTTTTACTTCCTAAAACTTATGACCATATATTATTCGTGTCTCCCATCTATTCCCTTTAAACCAAGGGGGGGGGGGAATGGACATGAGAGGCCCAATACTTTGGAAGTCGTTCTTCCTCTTCCATCAATGACCAGCCCAATTACTCCAACAAAACCAAAAATTTTTATGGTTTATGTAGAATGTGTAAATTACTACAAAGAGGATAGAAGAAGAACAAAAGGCTACCTCCAAGTATGCTAATAAGCGTCTGACTAACTAATTTTAAACTAAATGCTAAAGTATAATCATAAAAAGTATGTCTCTCTTCAATAGGATATTTTTAGGCTAATTTCTTTCGACTCTGGTCCGGCCACCAAACTCGTCAATAGTGAAGCCAAATTAACAATTTCAAGTGGATAAAACCTCATAGAGAATAGAATATATGTCCAGCACCCAATTATGACTTTATGTAATGGTATCTCAGGGTATGTATGAGAAAGTTATCCATTAGGCCTCTTAGATTATACTCAATACAAGTGAAATGGTTATTACTTCCTTAACACCATTCATTGTTTTATCAATTTCGAATGAACACCAACATGATCCCAGTATTCGGAAAGCTATTCTAAGTTGTGTTGATATAAAGAGGGTTGGATGACGATGATAGGTGGTTCACCTTGTATAGTACAAGAAGGAGAGCTTCTAGGAAAGGTGGCTGGAGTAGAGGGAAGAGAGAGGATGTGAGGATTGAAAAGGTCACTTGAGCCTCTATCTCGAGGTGCCATGTGGCGGTCGATCATTGGGGATTGTAGGCAAGTGGGATGACGTGATTGACCAAGGTACTCAACATCGTGATGCAGCCTAGGTCCACTTTTTCTGAAAGGAATTGATGAAGTAGTTGACATTTGACCTGGCAGTTTACATGTAGGACTCGCGGCGGGTCAAGTTGTGGCGGAGGTACTTTTCCAAAAGGGTGCCTTTGTAGGGTTCCTTGTTGTGCCTCCGAGGGGGTGTTTATTGCAACTTTCTAGAGGGTTCCTTCGTGTTCCCTCCGGAGGTGTATTAAATGTAGCTTTACGGCGGAGGGTATAACAAGTTGAAACTAAAATCTACATTTCTAACACCATAACACATACATATCTATTATGAAAAGCATTATTGCAATGAAAATAAATAAAACTTTCCTACTAATCATATGGTTAATAGCTACTTATTTCTCGGAAAGGAAATAGCTCTGTAAAGAACATTCTATTAAAACCTTGATATAGAATTCCCAAAGATGTTCGGTGTCTCTTGACAGTTCAACTTAGAAAATCATAATTTTCTGATGATACCTAATGAAATTCCTAATCCAAACAACCCTAAAATCAGAGTTGCAATTCATACCTGGACTATCCACTTCCATTAAATCTTTTAACGGCTTTTCATAAGGCCTCCATACAAAATGATCTCTTCCACAATATGATTATGGTTTAACATATAAAAACTATATGAAAGGAGCTTCTCGGGACATGAGAGATAGTCTTACTGATCCAATTAATTGATGAAATAAGGAAGATTATTATGAATAAAGTGAACTGTCATCATAATTCTATGCTTGATGTCCCATATGTTATGACAATGCCTCAATGTGTATTCAAATTTATGAAGAAATTGTTTAAAATAACTGAAACATTTAAGCTTTGGTTAGATTCTATGGTGTTTGTGTCTTTACTAACAAATAGTACTAATTAATTACTGTATGAAGTGATGATTACAATTCATAGTCACTCTTTGCAAGATCTTTTATTCCTTCCATCCATTGTTTAAATTATCAAGGCAGTGACAAGACACATCTCGAGAGGGAAGCTAACCATCAGTTCCTGCCTTCCCGAAATGCTAGTCGCAAACCAATTGTTCTGTTAACAAATTTCCCAAATAAATAAACAAGCATGCAAATGGGATAAGAGAGGTTCACTCCACCAAAAGGGAACAGAAGCACAGTGATGAATGCTGTCAGCGAACATAACTTATTGTAACAAAGGAATCGGATGAATGGGGTACCTAGGACAAACATAACAGCAACAATGGCAATAGAAACGGAGCTTACTCCATCAGCTTGTTATGTGATATCCTATTTACAACTTATTCTAGAATCCCCTGTTACATTCTTTGGTAATTGTATCTCCTACTCATCTTGGTCACCAACAGTTGGTGTGTGAAGACTGAGAACAGCAGCGAATACCAAGATTTCTTGACCATTTTTTCTTCAGCTTGCTCTTTGAACATATTGTGCAGAAGGAAAAATGTAAAGGTGGAATTGACAAATGGAGGGTAAAAAGACCCCAAAAAAACAATACATTGATTGACACAAGACAAGTACTAACATGGCAAGTAATTCCTCTTATCCTAGAATTTAGATTAACAAAAATAACAGAAACAAGCACATACAGAATCCATGAAAATCGAGGGATGGCATATATAAGCAATTAAAGAAGCCCTAAACAGTCTAGAACAAAAGAATGATTATCTCTGAAGATTGAAGAAATGTTCAATCTAAAGGGGCTTCATTGTACAAGCAGGTGAAGAAATAACCTTCCAAAGCATCAAGTTCTTAAAAAATAAAAACTATACTTAAGCTCGTAACAATCCATAGCGGGAAGCAGTTTATAGCACAAATTTTAATTCTTCTCTTTTCGATAATCCAAAGTTAATGCGGCCAATTTGTTATAAACAACAAATCACAATGAAATTAGCAAACAATACACTTTTTCATCCGGAAATTAGCATTCAGCTTCATTACTTCGAATCAAGTCGAAATGCAACAATTTCATCTTTTTTTCTCATTTTGCTCTTATCTGCTAACACGGGAGCTTTCAAGTTCTCCAATAGTAACATTATAACTCCCAAACTTTTACTCTTAGGGACAAACATGGGAAAAATTACTAATTATCCATCTTACTTTCTTGATATGTGTTTGCAGTTTCAAAGTACTTAAATGAATGCAATAGTATATAGTAGTTTTAACTAAAGACGTTTCCATGTAAATAAATAAATTGAGACAAACCCAATTTTAATTCAAGAGGTTTGATTGGAAATCTGTATAAAAGAATTTAACTTGAAGCCATAACAATCAAACCAGTTCATTGAAGTTAAAGACACAGACTGAACTCAAAAAAACAACCAACTTTATCTAATCTAAAAAAAAAAAATTGACATGCATTGGAAGAAAAGTGAGATTTACAGAGAAAGAAAATGCAAAAAGAAAAGCTTACCCACAGCGCTGGCAGAGCAGAGCAAAACCGCCATTACGAAGTCGCCAACCGGGGATGAACGTAGCAGATGAAGCTTTGCAGTGAAAACATCTCATGCTCATTGAGGAAGAAGAAGCCATTTCTTCAATAAACAGTGAATGAGAAAACACAGAGGAGAGCTTTGAATTGCTGTTTTTTCTTCTCTTTCAAAATGATGATGACAGTCAAAAGAGTGAAATGAACAAAATGGGTATCTGAGAAAGGGACCGTTTTTTAAGATTTTGGAAGTATTTGTCAGAATTTTAGTCGCACTGACATCAACACGGATACGCCCCAGCTAAGCTGCTGTGGTGTTGTTCTTCCTAGCCTTATTCCGGGACTCGTTCATGGTTTCTGCACCATTGGATTTGATCTAACGGTGAAAATTATTATGATTTTATTTTTTATTTAATAATAAAATCAGAATTGGGGTAGGGAGTAAATTAAAAATATGTGCTAATTTGGTATGTAAATTATTTTTTAAAAATATATCATTTATAAATTGCATAGAAATTAAATATAATCATTACAAATATGTGCTAATTTGGTATGTAAATTATTTCTAAAAAATATATCATTTATAATTAGCACAAAAATTATGATTCAAAATTTGAATTTTGAAATATTATTTTTTAATTCAGTATTTCAGTTACATCAATTTAATTAATTATATATTAGAAAACAAATTAGGGTAAAATACATAAATTGTCTCCCAACTATAGGATATCGCTTTATTGAGTCCCTTAAATATTAAAAACTGTAAAATGGTCCCCTAACTATTGGGAGTTGCTTTGTTGTGTCCCTTAACTATTAAAAAGTTATAAAATGATCACCCGACTATTCATTATGTTCCAAATTCATCCTTTTTTTATTAAAAAAATTAACAATCGGGTGAGATAGACATTAACATGTTGACTAAGATATGATAATCGTTTGAGATTATGAGATCAGATTTTTATCATATCTCAATTAGTGTGTTAACATTCCTGTTAATTTTTTAACGAATTAGGATGAGTTTGAAACATAATGAATAGTCATGTGACCATTTTGTACTTTTAATAATTAAATAACTCAACAAAACAACTCCCTATAATTAGGTGACCGTTTAATAATTTTTAATAATCAAAATGCTCACAAAGCAATATCATATAATCAAAGCTTGGTAAAAAAATTAATAACCTCGTCTGTAAATAATATTTATAATTATTATAAAATTTAAAAGCTTTATTGCTTTAAACATATAATAATGGTTACTTTTATTAAATAAAATATAAGTTAAAATCACTGATGTTTACATATTATTCGTTTAAGAACTTATTAAACAATCTTAATGATAAAATATAGTTTTGTTCTCTCTAAAATCTCGGTTCCAACAGTTATGTTAGTAATATGTGTATAATTGATTAAGAAAATTTTGAACAAAATTTTTCTTATAATCTCCGCGAACTAATAAAAAATATAAATAAACATAATTATCGGCAATGAAAGATAAATGCCATCAATATTAACATAAAATTTTATATAATAATAATGGCTCGTTGAAAAACTGATATAATCATAACTCAATCGTGACCTAAAAAAAGGCATAATAAAAAAATCTAATAAAACAACTCATACAAATGATAGATACAAATAAATATTATTATCGACGGTGAAATATAAACACCATCACATAAAATTATAGTATATAACAATGATGACTCCTTGAAAATATGATATAATTATAATTCAATTTCGAATTATCTTCATTAATTATGAGTGCCTATTAATATAAAGCTCGATGATGTAAAGCAGGAATAAATCAGCATAGTCACCAAATAAATATATATGACGAAAACTCTGCATTTCCAAACATTTTTCTATTACAATGGAATACCCCAATCCTCAAAAATACTTTTAGCACAACCACTTTGTAATTGCAAAATTTTGTAACTATTACGTGGAACCTAAGCTATGCTAAATTAATAATAAAAAAAATATCATCCGAGATCAGAGAAGACATCAAATGAAGATCACTTGGCAATAAAATTCTTCAAAATACTCACTCATATAGCACTTTAGATGATTGAATTCTCGATTTCTTATTTTCGATCTTCGAGCTTTTCTCGGCATACTTCTCGTTCTTTGCAATAGCTTTTTCAACAGCCTTTGCCTTACGAACATTTTCTGATCTCTTCATCGGTCTTCCCTTCTTCATCTTTCTGTTTCGAGATAGGTACATAGTTAGGGGTTTGTGGAAAATCAATATATAGATAGCAATAATATGGTAGAATGAAGTTTAAAAGGAGCTGTGAATTCTGACAAAGGCGTTTAAACAAGTATGTTCAGATACAAGTTACAGCCCCGGGGTTTGGGTTCATTCGTATTTGCATAAACGCTATGTTACATTCTTCGATATCAAATAAAAAACCCATTAATGAATGCCAAGAAGAAAATCATTTTCGAATATCAAAATCCCATTAAGAGACACGGGTGATGTGGCCAGAATCTTTTCCATGTGAACAAAGCTACGGCATGGGGAATTTCATTATCTAGAAAAGCAACACTACAACTGAAAACAAAACTATGGAAAGCCTCGAACTCCGAGAATTACAATGAAGCAAAACAAGCTTGCAAGACGAGAAGACTAGACCCGTAAAACTAACACACTGCCCGAGAAAAGCAAGGTCAAGGATATATACACTACACCATGTCACCATTAACCGCCTAACAATCCCTGCTAAGTTCATAAATGCAAATACCCGAACCTAAATGCGAGCTTAAAAGGTTCCGAAAGTCAAGTTCCGGTCTTCAATTTATCCTCTAATTGGAAATACTAATCTAACAATTCCAACTACCAACCAAACTGTAGAGATCATTAATAAAAATACTCATCAAGCAACACAACAAAAAGGAATCAATATAGCATTAACTTCGCAATTTCGTTTTCGGTCCAGAATTCGCTAGAAAAATGCCTTTACCCTTGAATCATACTATCCCCAAATATGCTATCAGCTCAGATTGATAGAGCTTTCAACCAAATACAACTCAAAGACTCCAACTATAAACCCAATCTTACATATATACAAGCCTATATATATTCGTGTGTTAAGAAATTAGCAAATGAAAAAAAATATAGTAGACTAAAGTAACACCTACAGTATTGGAGTAGAAGAACCAGGCTTTTGAACTCCAGTCTCCGAAGTGTCCATCGCTGCAAATAAACCAAAATTTACACTAAAAATCAAGTTTTTTAAGGTATAAATGTGTTAAATTCAGAATCAAAGTTACTAGTTCTTTATTATCTTTTAAAGATTGGATTGTTAACAAAAAAAATACAAGATGAAAGCTACCTTGATGAATCTCGGGAACGGTCCCTTCGTTGAAGTCCATTGAAGCGACGCCATTTCGCTTCTTCTTGTTCCTGTTTTTCGCCATGTCTTCGGAATTCAGAGATCAGACAACTGAATAAGAGAGAGAATAATCATAAATTGAGGATTCAAGTTACAAACCCTAGGGATTCTTTTTCTTTTGAGATAAGCAGTAGGAGAGCCGCCAATCCGACCTTCGAAAAAGGCCAGAAAGCCCAAATTTAAACTACCTTTTGGGTCTAAATACAATCTTTCATTCTGTTCATTCCATTGGGGAACCCAATAAACCCTAAACCCAAACCTTAAAAATGGCCAAAATCAATTCTAGGGTTTATACGAGGCCCAGTAGTTTTAATATATATATATATATAATTTGATTTATTAATGGATTAATTTTATTATTATTATTATGGGGTCACTAAGATAGTATATCTTCAAAGATAACTCTCAACCATTTGACATTGAATGCTCACACCCTTGGTATTTATGATACTCGAACCTAAAACCTAAAAAAATAATAACATTTCATGAGGCTTAGTTATAAAATAAGACTTCAAACTATAATGTTTTTTACAAATAGGTTCTTATAGTATTTTTTGAATGATCACGATTACTAACGCTACCACTTTAGTTGTCTAGGCCGTAAACGCCATTAATTTTCTCCGTTAATTGACACATATCACATTTTGTTAGTTTAAAAAAAATCTTTTAAAATTAAAAAAAAATAAAATTATATATTAAAAAAACACACAATTTTTTTGAAATAACCCCAAAACTTCAAGAACCTTAATTTCAACCTATAAACCCATGCAATCGTCGTCTTTTGTCGTCGACGAAGCTCTACCTAACCTCACCTATCCCCGACGATCACTACTCTTATGAAATCACAACTGATCGACGACCAATCGATGTTTTGTACATCACGAACACTAAGATGAAAATCGTAATCCCGCGCAATTCTAACGGTCAATCGGTAACAACTACGATAGAGTATACTATGAGGATGGCATGGACTAAATCAGCGGCGGTTGTCATAGTTAGTAAGGACGACAGTGGTGGTTAGGGTTATGATTTTTATGAATTGCTTTTATAAATATAATAATATTTTCATTAAAAAATAAATTTATCATAACATGACACGTGTCACTTAACAGAGAAAACTAACATCAGTTACGGTCCGGGCGCCTAAAGTGGCAACGTGTAATGTTAGACACCGAAATTATTCAAAAAACACTGTGGACACTTATTTGTAAAAAGTGGTATAATCTAGGCACTTATTTTATAATTAAGCCAAATTATAATACCACAATCTAAATTTTTTGATATCCCAAATGCTCCCTTCCCAATATATTTTTTTTAAATAACATCTAATCTAATTAAATAAATTAATAATTAATACTAAAAATCAATTATTAAAAATAACATTTTTATGCCATGAAAGCATCCACATGCACTGCAGTTTGTTAGTAAATAACCAAACCAGAAGACCGATCCAGTCCTGCTTCAGACAAATTCACTGATGTGGCTGTGCAATTACTCCAGCTACTTCATCATTAATCAGACATAATGAACTAACAGGTGAGCCGATTTTGGATTTTTCCTTTTGGCCACAACAGCATTGATCATTCATTAACCTGGTAACTACTCAATCTGGGAGAAAACTGAAGAAAAAAAATAAGACAAGAAGCAGAGAAACAATGGCGGATACTTCAATGAAAAGAAAGGGGTTGGATTGAAGGTAGAAATCAATAAAACTGCTTTTGGGGACATACCCCTGTATGTATGTCAGAAATATCATATCTCCTTCCATTGTGTTCATTCATTAAAGCTTTGTCCAACCACATGACTCTA